GTTATCAGTTATTGTGTACATAATATACCAAACTTCGATACTGAATCACTTCCTATAGGTGTATGACGTCATAGAGTTATTCCCAGACTATAAGTAGGTACAAATTAAGTACAATACAATACTTACGTGATATGGGAAGTGAATCACAGACATTGGACTTTGTAATTGATCTTTTAAACCAGTAACACTAATCATTAAGTATACTTTTGATGACGGTGGAACCTTTAAAAGGCGCCTAGCTTTTTGGTGAAAAGAATAGGGAGTGGGGGATTCGTACCTCACTAAAACCCCCACGGTACAACGCATGTTACAGCATATCCCTTAGGATCATTAGGTACCTAGGTTTTTTACACTTGATAGATATTTCTGTGTTAAACCTGTTGAATTGTAGATGCACTTTTCTCTAGACAAATGCAGTGCATTTAGATTACCAATATCTAGTTTCCCAACTTCTTTTTTCAGTCCTAATTTCTGTAATTATGTAGTTAGTTAGTATCTTAATGCAAGATCTTTGAATCGATTTAGGTTTTTGATAGAAACTTAATAAAAATAATAATAAGAAAAAATTGATTCCAAAAAAAATTATTAGATACGATGGATTGATTGATTTCGTCTGTTAGCTGATCTGCATTAAGTATACATAATAGGGTCGGAAGTTTTAGTCCTACATAAAGCAATAGGTACTTGTAAATATGAAAAAACAAATATATTGCTTTCTCTCTTTGGTTTTTATTGTAGTCTAGCAACAACAATAAAGAGAGTCATCCTTCAGTTATAATTCAAGATTAAAGGATTCAACTATTTTAAACCATATTTAGCCATGTATTTAAAGTCCTTTTTTACTTTTTGCAATGTCACGGTACGTTCATGAAGTTCACGGTCGCATTGAAATGACTGTTATTTAAGCTGAATTTCTTCTTACACGCCCAAAGAAACTACAGCTTTACTTTAAGAGTAATAGAGTTGAAATTCCTAAATCATTTTCTGATAGATTTATTTCACTGTACAGAGTAAGAAGAACTGTATTTTATTGGACTGTCGACCTTAGGGCTCTGGAAATAAAGGCTTGAAATGTAAAGTTTAGGGGTCATGTTTCATTGGTTTATGTCAAGAATTAAGTATTCACAAAAACGACTTAGGGATGCCTGAAGACATCCTAAAGCCAGATTAATATACTTAGTACTTACAGATAAGCTGCTATTGTTTGGCGCTGAATCATCTCGTGTTGTAGTCAGTTTTTGAAATAGGATAATTTTGAGAAATTCTAGATTTTGATCGAGTTTACCTGTTGGAAAACTCAAACACTATTGTGTTTAATTTTGTAATTGCATTTTGACTGACTTGTTATAAAGTCTAAAGTGTTAAAAGAAACTTACGAGAGAATAGGTATTTCCAGTTGTATTATGTACCATAAAATGGACTAATCTATAGGAAGACTTTTAAACGAGAGTTCCAAAAAAACAAATCAATTAAAAAAAAAATTAACTTAAAACCTCTAGGCCGGTTGTAGGTATTACGTACGACGACTTACTCAACGAGACACCGACGGGAAAGTATTAAAAAAACGTGGGAGGGAACAAAAACACGAATAAATAATAATTAAAACATTAATGTTTACAAACAACAAATTAGTCGACAGATTGATTAACCGCCATGTCAATTTACCAGTCGCTTAGTCAACGTTAAAAAATACAACCTGTCAAATTGACAACTGGTTGCTTGTGTCAAATTTGACAGTTTAATGAACGATTAACTGAGAGTGGGTTAATGTTGACATGTTGTTTGTTTATTTTATAGAAACCAGTTATAATAAGGTTAATCGTTTTTTAAATTCACAGTTGAGTTTTGAATGTTTGAGTTCATTTTAATTTATGATTACTTGGAAAAATAGATAAAACTATAATCTTAAATTAATTGCTTATACAAATTAGTCGGCGGTTGCTAGGAGGCAGAGGGTCATAGGTTATAACAAGAGTTATATTAACAAGGGTTACAATTATAACCTATAACCTCAAAAATTATCGCTTATAATAAGAAAGAACAAATATAACTAGGTGAAAGTGGATGAGCTAACTAATAAAACTACCTGCTACATCTAACTTTCGAAAAATAATTTAATTTTATTCTTGATCATCATTTTCTGGTCATTTTTCCAAAAGTCCGATTTTATAATTTGTCTACAACGTCATCTTTACTAAAGTACATCTTTCAAAGTGTATTGTGCCCATAATTTTCTAATTTCTTTATTCATGTGGATCGTAATCATAAAGTTCCGGGTTCCACGTCCGAGTGATGTTCAAGGGTGCTTGGAATCGTTTAATATTATTGTGTATAAGTACGTATATGTATGTTTTGTTATGACATTATGATTCGTTAGCTGATGAGACTAAGAATTTCACTTTTAGAGCTGGTTAAGCAAAATGTTTACGTTGATAATCAAAATATTTAAGTCATACATTCTTGATAATGCTATTCAAGGGTCTGTTTGAGTACCCACATCAGAAAATTATATCTTGCTTTCTACAGCTTAAAAATGGTACATTAAAATTCAAACACCAACTAAATAAAACTAAAACCCTATCACACTTGGCACAGTAATTTAATCACGCACACTAACAAACAAACATCCATTTAGAATAGATAAAAACAAATTAAGAAACCAAACTAAAACACGGTTGACTGCACGGTTAGTGCGGTGGCTGGGCAACCGGCTGCCGTGCAACGTGTCGCGGGTTCCCGCACGGGACAACACTTTGTGTGATCCACAAATTGTTGTCTCGGGTCTGGGTGTCATTGTGTATGTGAACTTGTATGTTTGTAAAAGCACCCACGACACAGGAGAAAATCCTAGTGTGGGGCAACGCTAAAAAAAATAGATGAACAAAACCATTTCAAAAATAACCCGCAACAGCTTACGTAATTCAAATAAGGCTCTATTCAGTACACACTTGTTGACTCAGCCTGGAACCGCTGAAACTGGAACAATTAAGTGTCCTACTTTCCTTGAAATGAATTTCAGGTTTAGACAGCTTTGAAACCCTGAATAAACACGTCACGAAAATACGTTTACTTAAATCTGCTGACCATAATAACATTCTATAGTCTAAAACAAGGTAAATTTCTACGTTTTGGCTGTTTACTTTGCTCCTAAATAAATAGTAGAACCGCAAATGTTAGCAAAATATTCTATATACTGTACAATCCCTTCGTGGGCAACCCTGAGTAAATTCTAGATAGACTGGACTGGTGACACTGAATTTTTGATACAGAAGTTTCAGATCAATCAGAAATGACAGTTATCACCTTTTCAGTTTCTAACTTTTTACTAGAAACTGTTTTAATTCTTGATTCGTTCTAATATAAGTCTTTTGAGTGAATCGAATCCAGTTACGATATGGAATTCAAATTTAAGCTGTCAAACACCGCGAGGACACCGTTGACCGCAACCTATTGTTCTTTAATTGTGTCTATAATGACGGCATGTACTCAAAGGATTAAATAGTTCAGTACTTTTAGCCAAACGCCACTTTAGCGCTTGTCTACACAGAGAGTAGAAAACTAAATGTATGGGAATGACACAGATAAGTGTCAAAATTTACGTCAATTCCATGTAATTTAGTTTTCTATTCTACATGTAGACAAGCGCTAAATGGCATTTGGCTACAGCTGGTAGTTATCAAACTGCTACTGCTCGATCTAGACCAAATGTAACTTGGTGGCTTTAAGTCCCGAGTGAACAGGTTGCTCATAGGTAGACGTACTCCATCATCGATCACATCATCGCTTACCACCATCAGGCGAGATGGTGGCGAAACATCAACCTATCAAGTAAAAAAAAAGACCAAATGTGCAGTCCCTTAATCGACAGCCACGAAAAGAAGAGGGGTTTTTTTTATGGCATAAGCCGGTAAACGAGCAGACGGATCACCTGATGGTAAGCAATCGGCGTCGCCCATGGACATCTGGAACACCAGAGGCGTTACAACTCACACGACGAAACACAACGCAAGCGTTGCTTCACGTCGGTTTTCTGTGAGGCCGTGGGTATCACTCCGGTCGAGCCGGCCCATTCGTGCCGAAGCATGGCTCTCCCACACTTGACACCCCCACGCTTGGTGACAAAATATATTCTACCCTGCCTTCAACAAACGACTAATTTCCCTATACACATTTAATTAACTACTCTTCTCAAATAAAGAACACAAGACATCAAAAAGTATTAAATAACCCCATTAATATATTTTACGACAACCAGACACAATAAACTGGGCCTTCTGTTCCTTCATATGGGGTGAAGGTCACTGTCCTCGGAAACGTTTAAGGGCAGCCCTTCGACCTTCGAGGGTCACAGATCCAAGGTCATGTCGACCTTGCGCTAAAAGGTTCTTAGATAATCCTACTTTTGCACTCGACTTAACAGGAATCTCGTTTGGATTTAGTCAACTTGGGGACCTTTTATTCATAGACTTAAACTTTCAGTTTGAGCGTCTTTTCGCGATAGATGGAACTGTAGGTGCGGGTTTTAGCTTTTAGGATTAAGGTAGATAAGTTTTTTTGAGACTTAATACTAACTTCAAGTGCGCATTTGCAAGATTAAGGTCGGTTACTAACATAACATAACATCACGCCTTTTGTCCCTAAAGGGGTAGGCAGAGGTGCACATTACGGCACTTAATTCTACTGTACAATGTAACACCCACTTTTCATACATTTCATGTAATAGGGGATGAGCCTATTGCCATATACCGGGCATAATTCTAGACTCCGTGCTACTACTGAGATTTTTAAAAACCCATTAATACTTTGCCCGACCCGGGAATCGAACTCAAGACCCCTTGAGCGGCTGTCGCTCTTGCAACCACTCGGCCAACGAGGCAGTTTTATTTTTTTACAATTCCGATTTTAAACGATTTCTGTATATGAATGATAATGATAGATTATAATATCATTATCTATGATTTAAAATTATCAATATTAAATACATTTTTCTTTTGTTACAGAGAAGAGATGTGGAGTCACAGTCGTCGACAAAAACTAGTTTCTGCACACGGCATGGCTTGTGGTGGACATTTGGAGTTGATATCCCTTTACTTTTAATCTGTAAGTACCTAAATTTATATACCTATCGATATATTTTGTCGAGACTTAATCCTTAATATTCAAGGTATACCCCAAGCCCTTTCGGAGTCGCGGAGAACTTAAAGGGTTACCGGGGCTCCGGCTCGAAGCGCAGGAGAAGGAACGGGGTGGTTTTTAGTCAGTAAGAGTTTAACACTCCCTCCCGCCTCACCCAGACGGGAGCAGACATTCGATGATTTCCCCCCATTAAAAAAAATACCCCAAGCCCTTAAATTACAAAACTCGGGCATCGTAAAGGAAATGTATATGATAGGTGCTTTGGTTTTTTAAAGACTGCTAACAAAATCCATAAAAAAACCCAACTTTACAACCATTTCCTAACAACATTTTTAAACCACATCGTGTGTGGCACCACACAGAATTAATATCCATTTATGTGCATATTTAGTTCACTGGGACACTCCATATTTCACACCTATAAGGAAGCCACACGAAACCCTTTATACCTCCTAAATTAATGACATAAATTACAAAATTAATTGTTATTGAAATCATAACGGATGCAACTAATTAACAGACATGAATAAAATTAAAATTAACCTTAAAACGTTCGACTACCAAAAATGGCGGCTATTTCATTGCAACGAAGACAGATATAATGTTGCCAGAGAAAATAAATCGAGCGGATTTATTTTTAGAGGGAAATCGTGTGTGGAATATTAAACTCTATATTGATGGTAGGAAGTTAGCATGTTTGCTTTGGTGTTTTATATAAATAAAATAGAAAAATATAATGTTATAAGGATTACTAATTTTACAGGCAAAGGTGTTTAGTTTATTTTTCTTGTAGTGCAACGTTTAGGGATTATTTTTGAAATTGTGTTCATGGTTTTTAATGTCATAGACTGTTTAGCAATTTGTGTAACGATTTTAAGATTTTAATTAAATTTATACATTCGGGCTTACTTGAATGAAGTTTATTGTAGTTGCTTCAGGAAAAACTGGAAGGAAATAATAGTTAAAATCAATACATGCGCATTGTACTTAGCAGAAATAAATATACTTATATTATGCAGCGTGTGTTATAAATGTAAACAAGTTAGTAATTACAAAGTGGTTTATAATCAACAAAATGTTTATTTTAATTAGAAAAGCAGAACATAATATTGGCTACTGAGTAACAAATGCATTTGAAATACTTTTAATTTTAATTATAAATGCATTGCTATTACAAGAATGGTTGCTAGTAAATAGGGAAAAATATTTCGCAGTCTGCGATTAGTCAGTTCAAAAAAATAAAATAAACGACACTGACGCTGAAAATTTTGTTAAATTTGATAGAAAGAGAAATTGACGTAAATTAGGTTAAGGACTGCTTATACAAATTATGTTTAGGAACCTACTAATGTCTTTAAACAAACACACTTTAACAAAAATGATTACCACGTGTGACCAAAAAGTAGATACTTTCGATATAATAATTAAATTTAGATTATCATCATTGACTGCAAAAAGGTAAAAAATATATTTGACAAGACACACGTGTGGACCCCACACTGACATATTAGGGAGTTGTCACATCTGAAAATGAATAAAAAATGTAGGATTTTTATGGTTTCATTTTTTGCGGTGCCTTGGTTATTTTTGGAACATACCTAATTATAATTAATGACGTCTTGGTATTAACCTGATTATTTTGGGCTGTCTCTTGAAAAAGTTGCCTACGTACATATTATTAATATGATTTATAGTTAAATGCTTAATAGTTGCACTGATTCATAAATAATGCAGCATCAGCAATACAAAAAAATCAAAAATGTATCATTGCAATCATGAATGTGTGTTAAGCATTGGTTTTTTGTAACGAAAATACTTGAAAAAAAATTGTATGCTTATAAAAACCTTTATTTACTACCAAAATAGAAAATATAAAAATGCATAGAACAAACCACCTACATTATACATAAATAAATTACTCCTCAATGTATCTAAGACGAGTTATCACTGACGTGTGCGACACTCATAAAGATTCGCATTTATTGACGTCAAATACTTTGTAAAACAATACGGTACTTGACGGACGCGTACCTATGTGACTGTGTTTAGAATTGATTTGCGCATTAAGAAAATGCAGCTGTCGTTTTGTTATGACAGTTTAGGTGACATGCCACGTGAGACGTTCATAATATTACTATTTAATATTAGTTGGTTAAGTCATACGACACTTTATTCATTATACAAGAAAATTATCTACAGTACAACCGTTGTTCCAAAGAATTGTGTATGTTTGTTCAAATGGTCAAAGGCACGAGAACTTGTTCACATCCTGGGTCGGATAACGCCATTGTGAACCATAATTATTGTTTAGAACCTTAAGGTAACATTCCTGATGAAAATTGAACTAAAACTTCTTTATAATACTTCAGATACGATGTTATACTATGAAAAAAAAAACTAAACGAAAAAATATCCATGCATGATTTAAAAGTTTACAGCTGGCAACACTTACGGCATATGGCAGAATGCATGCAATCGCAGTCACTGTTTATAAAATATGAGAAAAAAAATCATGTCATCGACCTTTTGACACCAATGCGCGTTCATTAGAGCGACCATTTAAAATTGGAACATTATTTTAAAAATAGAACTCATGTTGTATAATTTTATTCTATTAATCAAAAGAGGTTTTTAGATTTACGTTTCTTTTTTAAACGTAATGTTTTCTAATTTTACATTGATTTCCTAAAAATACGTATGTACTTAAAACATGAAAATGCATATTAGTAAAAAAAAAGTTTTCTGAAGCAAACTGAGTAAAAATAATTGATTTAAGCGAAAAGGAGCTTAACCACAGACTTTAAGATGCAACCTTTATTATTAAGGCACATCCCTTTTTAACAAGAGCGTCATTTTTGGCGAGTTTTAACGATGAGGCATGAAATGTAACGGAATATGAGGACCGGGAATCGAACACATTGAACGAATGCTTAAACTAACGATCCCCGTATTTTATATATTAATTTATTTTGGTTACTTATTTAATACGATTAACTAAAACTACGTTTAAAAAACCGACTCAAGCCCCTCTATTCATGAGGTCGGATTATTATATACTAAAACCTCATAAGTGTAACAAACGCTTTTCTGAAAATCGCATCAAAATCGGTTCAGCCAATTGCGAGATAATAGCGCACAAACAGAGTCAAACAGAGAATCTCCTTTTTTGAAGTCGGTTAAAAACATTATTAAGTAGTAAGCAATTATAATTATTAGGTATGATCAGAATTATTTATTAGTTTTTCCAAATTAGAAGCTAAGTATATCCAACCAATTTGTTTTGCTTTGCTATCACATCTATTATCTATAGAAATTTGAACATTACATAAGTCTTAATTGGTAATTAACTAATAAATAAAAGTATTAATTGTATCTAATTCTTATTCGGGATCATACTAAATTTATAACAGATTAGTACTTAAGTAATTAATGAATATATTACATGGCCATTTTATCTCCTTAAGTGTATCTTTGAGGAAAAATATCGATTTCAATGTAATTTGGGTTTGTTACATAGATGTAAAGTATTTTATTTCGTAATTACGTAGGTACCTACGTATTAAGTAGCTTATAATGTTTTGTCGATTAACGCAAGCATCGGAAAAATGTCATCATTGTTTAATAACTATTTTACACCACAAAAATAACTAAATGTATCCCGGTTTTAGTTGAGTAGATGTTCCGTACCTTACGCTCAGAGGACTTGTTAGAGGACCCGGTGTCCCTTATAGCTGTGGGTGGCTACCGGGGTGGTTCTAATGAGGCAATGAGGAGAAAATCCTAAACTCGTTAGATGTTCTCCTCAAAAAGCTAGGCTATGTGCAGCCCCCCCCCCCCCCCCACCGTCATAAGAAAAGGAACCTGCTTACCACACTTTAGTCATGCGTCGTAAACATGATGTGGAAAAACTTACAAATAAGGTAATAGTAAAATAGTAAATACCCTTTTATAAGCTGTCTCACTTCCTTGTATGCCTTCAATTTGTATTAAAAAACAACTCTTACTCATCAGTTTTGTAATAAGGCAATAATATTTAGTTGTAGCACTTATTATGGTCATTCCGTAGTCTTACGAAACTTCACTTTATACCTTTATACCTTATGTTCAACACCCCGTTGCGCCACACGCTGTTCCCGCGTTCAAGAGGCATTTTAATCGATCCCTATTTATGGATATTCGATTTAACGGTCTCAATGAAACTCTCGATTAATAGATGTAATTGAATCGTGACCATAATTACAACTTTCGTTGTGAATGAATAAAAACTTGCCGACACTATTATTCATGGTAATCTGATTAAAGATAACACTTAATAGTCGAGTTTCGCTTAATATTAATCAATTTTATGCATAACAACATTACAATGCATCCCCGAGATAATTTTTACATTACATCCAACTGACAGCGCCATCTAGTATCGAGTAGCGGAACTATTCGTACTAGTGAACTTTATTTTAAAATTATTTTCGTTTTGTTTTACGATTCCGTCTAATGTTTACTCACTAGAATCATTTGCAGGTAATTATAAAATTATCTATAATGATTCACAATGATTAACCACTTTTAATTCAAGATGTTGATATGCAATCTTTCAATTACCTATGTTTCTGTGCGTGCCACAAGCGGGGCCGGTCTAAGGAACGTGTAGGACCACGCAGTAGGTCCACGTGGGTCCCAACGTGGGGCCCAACGTGTCGGATGCACTACAATTGCCCTATTATGGCTTGTTACGTAATTATTCGTAATCGAGTCCCGTGGTACACGGCCCGACCTGCACAGGACGAAGAAACTTCGAGTCGCAGTGGGTTATGTAATACTTTCTGAGCTGAGCAATGGATATATACAGATATGTACACAGAAATCAAAATTATTTAAATTAATATTCACCTTAGAGTATTTCAAGCAGTTGCTTATGTTTTATGTAGGTACATAAAATACTATGAGAAGCATGCATCAATAAATTACAAAAATAAAGTTCTTTTTTATACGCAATTTATAAAATGCGCACGGCCTACCTGATGGTAAGCGGTTACCATGGCCTATGTACGCCTGCAACACTTGGGGCATTACATGCGTCTTGCCGACCCTTAAGAAACCTATTCACTCCCCTTTTGAAGAACCCCATGTTGTAGCCCACTGGGAACCATGGCAGAGTTCATTCCACAATCGGAGGGTCCGTGGGAGAAAATTCCTCTGAAACCAAACTGTACGGGACCATTTGGGCTCCAATGAGTAAGCGTGAACTCCCTGTCGATGGCGAGCGGTGCGATGATAGAAAGTTAATGTCGTTGCTATCCGAATAATTTCAAATCTTAACACACATCCAAATAACTTAGTAGATAATCATTGCATTAGCAATCATCATGACAATATCAGTTCTAATCGAATATAATTAGATTAACTTATCTTTAATTAGACACGTGAAATTAAAGTCATAGTCGTATATAATATAAATTGGTAGGTACGTATTGTATACTTGTATGTAACAACGGGCTCATCACCAAATACGGAGACAAAAATTATTCACAATTTTATTCATTAACTACCTATTAAAATATAATATAACAATCTGCTCATCGCCGTTGATCGAGTAGTCGCAAAAGCAACTGAACTTGTCGAACTTTACTTTCATCTAGAAAACCACACCAATAACGCCAAAATATAATTGCCTATATTTTCCAATTGAATTTTAAAAGACACCGCCAAAACCTATGCAAAAATAGTCCTTGATTTATCATGACTACATGAACGTCATGATAATCGCACCACTAAACATAACCAACATAAAACGAACTGCGGCGAAAATTGGAACCAGCATTATCCAACTGCAATCACCAGTCCCTACTCACAGCAGCAACAGGCAGCGACACTTCAAAGTGTCAGGACAATTTGGTAACAAACTGTTCCTGGTATACGACATTGACTTTGAACCATAGTTTGGGGGATTGGCAAATAAATTGGCTAATAGAGTACGACGTCCATTTCAATGTCACGGGGATAAAAATTGCGTGAGTAAGTTAGATAATATTAGAACTAGATTCGTTCTGAACGTTCCGGGTCTTGATGAAGATATCCTATGTATTACTAACGTACCAGGAAGATCATTGAGTCAAATCTATTAGAGTATGCAATTTTGACTGTTTAGAGGACACATATATTTGCTAAATGAGCGTAGGTAGGGCTCAAATTGAAAGGATGCTAAATGTAACGTAGTTTTGGACTGATGCAATTTCTTAGGTAGATGAGAGTTGTAATTGAGTAGTAGACTGCCATGAGCCGTTAATGATATTCAACAACTGTTCAAGGGTTCTTCAAGGCCCGAGTGAATAAGTTGCTTATGGGATGACGTGCTCCATGGTAGATCGGATCATCGCATACCATCAGGCGAGGTAGCAGTCAAACGTCGGCCCATCAAATATATAAAAAAAACTACTAGGGCTTGAATTCAATTTACTTGCTAACTTACCTTTGTTTTCAATCACAATCCCTAAAACGGGACATTCGTATTTAACTCCTCTGTAAATGTCGATTTTCCTGTGAACTTGCTACATGCAATGCATACCTAATTAGGTGCGTATACCTAGTATCAACTAATTCAAAAATAGTCACAAACATTGAAGGGTTTTGATTAATTGAATTACATTACAGACGAAGAACCTACGTGCGTCATAGAATCCAATTTTCCTTGAAAGGTACATTGGATAATATTATTCGTAGGTAGTTTTCACTCTTCTAAACCATTTTACTCTTTAGGATCGGGCTTAAAACCTTGAAAAGAATCAGGTTTATCAGAGAACGGTGTTGTTCAGTCATTGCTAAATATGTAGTCCTCTTGTCGACTTTTTAACTACGGAAAATGCAGCTGACAAGTGAAGTTTATTCTACTATCACCACACGATTAAGCCAAAAATGTTATCCTCATCTAACTTCTTCTAATCAACACCTTTCTTCCACAGTACTTGCTCTGATCGGCCTCTTCGAGTTGGGAGTGATCCCGAACCACAAAGCAGGCTTCTACTGCAACGACCCAGCGCTTAACTTTCCGTTCAATGGAGACACAGTCACCACTGAGATCCTCATGTCCACTTTACTAGCTGGACCTTTAGTATTTGTAAGTATTTTCTTTATTGAAATTTAATATTATTTTAGGAATTTTAATAAAAGTAGGATGCAAAGAGCTCGCTTATAGCAATTAACAATTACTTTAAAAGATAAATCATCGCGCTAACTATCCACTGGGTACTAGTAAGCAAGTATATATTTATATATTATGTATGTATGTATATATGTATGCATATTGTAGGCATATTGTACTCATATGTAGGTATATATTATAATTAAATTTATTTATGTATGTATATCTCCGAAATATATTAGTTTATCTTTCATTGTTAAATAAAATCACTGCTTGCCTCTTGCACCTACCAATTACTCTTCTCTGCATCACCCAAAGGTCAGACTGGTAGAAAATGCCTGCGGCATTAAGTCCACCTTTTTGTACATTTTGTGCATGAAGCATATTAAATTAATAAATAATACCTAAATAAATGAGTAATATAAGAAGGTTTATGTAACCTTTAGGTTTTCTCATACTTTTCGAGGAAGATACAATGATTTTCCCTGAAAAGCATATTATGAATGCGCTCCTGATGCGTCATAGTGTTTGTCTGTTTATGTTCAGTTCATAGGTAATGGTCTGACAACCATATTGATGTTTTACGGCCATAATGCCGGTGAATAATATCTAAATTTTACACATAATATAATATAGAATGGACAAATTTCATTTCACCAAGGAAAAAATATAAATAAATGGCGTAAGAAGTTCTGTGACATAACGTTAATTTGGTTTCTTGGAACATTTGGAACTTCTTTTAACATTAATTGTTTCCTTTTCGCTTCTTTGAAACCCAATTTTGTCCTCAACAGTCACATTATCATTAACAATATCTTTCTTTCCTTTCAGTTCGCGATCACAGAATACATCTTCGTCTATGTCGACTACTCCGAGTCCAGGATACGACAGACATGCATAAACACCTTTTACTTGTACAGAACCTACATCTACGGGCTCATCATTAACCTCAGTATAGTTGAGGTGATGAAAGGAATTGTAGGCAGCCCTAGACCGACCTTCTTCGATTTGTGCGAACCTGATGCTGGGAAGACTTGCAATGGGTAAGGATTATTTTTGATTCATTGTTATTCCATTCTCTATCTTCTGTAATATGTGTATTTCTTAGCTACCTATTTTGAAATTGTTGACGACAAGATTTTTCGGGATCTGTTAGCCATCTTATGACACCAAAAAGTGTTCGAAAGTCATTTAACCCGTGGTACGTAGATCTACGCGATATACAATGTATTTTCTATTGTGTCTCATATACCGGCAGTCAAGAGGTTAAATACTATTCTAACTTAGCTGACTAAGTTCTTCTAAAAGCCCCTCTTTAGACAAAATTGAGACAACAGCTCCCAAATCACTTCTATTAATCCAATCGACATTGAATAGTACACCTACCAGGGTATTTTACTGATACTTCCCAATAAAAAGCTAGTCAGATTGTCTCAGACACCCAGCTCGGTCAGTGACTGGTCATTTTTACGACATCCGCATTTGTATAGAGCAGTGTTTCCCAAAGATGTTCTGTAGCCTGGTAATTTTTACTTTGCGTCTTGATTATCGAAAATTAATTACTACTTCATAAATGGATAGTTTGATGAAGGCAATCCCGAGGCACACGTTAATATACTAGAATCTTAAGCTGATATATTATACCACATATTTTAATATCTCCGTGATAAGGAATATTTATAAATCACAGGGAGAAAGTTTTGTATCCTCGTATCATATTTTGATATCTGGATTCGGAGTTTGGAACCACTGGCATAATAGAGCAATATGTTTGCCTCACAGAAATAATACATTTGACATTGAGCGATCTTGAAGCACGCAGATGCTACTTATCTAATCTGAGGATTGACGTGACCACATCAAAGTGTCAGAGATGGAAATTCATGAGATTATTGACACTGAATTTATGATCGTAAATGTTACTTATTAAGGAGATACTACGAAAGTTTGGTTGGAGAAATTTCAACTTTATTGTGTGGGAAATCTTTTGTTGTTTAAGATGTTATTAGCTTAATATGAAGTGATATCTAATTATTAAGAAATAATGTCGATGTTTATTTCATTTACTATTATACTCTTTCCTTTTTTGTCCCATTTATACATTCTAGTTTTCAGATATGTTGCAAGTGTTTTTTTTAATTAATCCCTTCTTTTTTTTTCTTCTTCTTATCAATGGTTTTGTTTAAATCTCTAACGTAATGTAATGTTTTTGTTACAGTACTGAGTATGTGAAAGACTTCCAGTGCACATCAACGAAGTACGCTAGCTGGTATCAAATGGACTCTTACAGGAGCTTCCCATCAGGTCACACTTCTCTGTCCGTCTACTGTGGACTCTTTCTTGCGGTAAGCCTTTTCAATATTTTATTCATTATCATAATTACTAACGCTAAAGTGTTTCCTAACCACAAAAAGAAGACTACATAAATGAGCGTACTCTCCAACTGTCCTACCACTTGAACTCTCTTATCAAATCCATTCATTTGCTTTTTATTCTATTCTTCTTTTCAAATATTTTATTAATTTGATTATTTTCTCCTTGGTATTCATTGTTATTCCTTCTTATTTCCAGTGGTACCTCCAACGCCGTGCCTTCGACTGGTCTCACCGCTCCATCTTCATGGTGCCGATGTTGCAGCTGCTCTGCATCTCCTACGCTGCCGTCTGCTCCCTCACGAGGATCACAGACCACAGGCATCACTGGTGGGATGTCCTCGTCGGTACCATCATTGGTGTTGCTACTGTTCTTTATGCTGTAAGTATACGTTATCGAAATAGGTTCTATAGTAAATAGCGAACAGCTTATATTGAACTGGATTATTTTTTTATTTGGCAATGATTTTCAAAGTCAAAGTCAAAGTCAAAGCATTTATTTCAACAAATACAAAATAAATAATAGTCTCTCAGTCAGTCCGTCAAAAGATTAGTAAAATAGTTTTCGATTCAAGCACAATAAGCTTCCTTTTGGAAGTCGCAAAAATAGGCGTGAAATGATAATAATATTTTCCTCTTGCTTCCAGGTCATTATCAGCTCAAACTTCTCACACGATCATTCAAAGATCAGTGATCTGAAGTCACAGGAGAGCACACAAACTGTGAGGACCCTACTATATGACGAGAGAAGACCGGCAACAGTGTCCTAGTGTTATAATAGCAAAAGACTGGTTTCAAATTGAATAGACCAATATGGTCTTTTTAAAATCTTGTCCGAAAGGACCGAGATGTAGACCTTTAGTTATTAGGAACGAATTTATTTAAATAAAGGCCAGCTTAGCCTTTCGAAGAATAAATACATATCCTTGTTATTGCATAAGTAGGTAGAATTTGGTCCTAATATTCTTCGTGTAAAAATGTTTAGAACTTAGGACTACGTTTGGAAGTAGTGATGTGGAGAATTGGTGAAATATTCTCGAGTAGGTATTGGTTCGATCTCGATCGACATTTTAATTGGAATGACGAAAGAAATTCGAAATACCACAAACTTGACATCACATTAGATATATGTATTTGACAAATAAGATAAACAAATTTAAAGGAACAAACACAAAATAAATGAAATAACAGAACAAGATCTTTAAAATGACAAATGAAAATTATGACATTTTATTTGTTGCAATTTAGTTTATACATTTTTTCACCTAGAATAATATAATATGTATAAAAAATATATAGCAATCTTATATTCAGGCAAGAAATAGCAATAGAAATACATAAAATACTTAGCACTAAAAATGTTCAAAAGATAGAAAATAATGCAACTGAAATATCCGCCATATTGTTATTAGTATTTATATTGTTAAATAGATAGATAATGTCATAAGAAGTTTAACTTTATGACCTTAGAATGTTATAAATTATTGTCAAAATGTAAATATTTATTTCTAAGTAGATATTATGTATGAAAAGGATGCTCGCGATAGACATTTCAATGCACGACCAATATGTATGACATTTTATGTGAGTTTAAACATTTGTATACTTAAGTAATAAAATCTTGGAAAGTCCTTACACTTGCTTTGAAAGTAAATGTTATTTGGACTTTGCTGTAGATATTTGTAGGAAGTAAATAATAACATTTAAATTGACCTGACTAAACTTTTATGCACTTAGGAGCAATAAAACGGAAGATCTATGGATTTTTTTCCTTTTCTTGATAAAATGACTGCCTCGTTGGCCGAGTGGTCACAAGTGCGACTGCCGGGCAAGGGGTCTCGGGTTCGATTCCCGGGTCGTGCAAAGAAATACTGGGTTTTTAAAAAAAATTCTTAGTAGTAGCACGGAGTCTGGAATTGTGCCATAAGGCAATAGGCTCACCCCCTGTTACATGGGACTCATAACATAAATAGTGGGTGTTACATTATACAGTGGATTAATGTGCACCTCTGCCTAACCCCTCGGGGATAAGAGGCATGATATTATGTTATGTTTCTTGATATAAAATTTCTGATACAAGTATTTTATGACATGTATTGGTAACGTATGTCGTATAGAAGGCAATTTAGTTGCCTTTAAAATGAGAGCATTTAGTCGAAAAAGGAATATTCTTTTTTAAACTTATTTAAATTAAGAAATAAAAACGTTAGTGACTCCGTTTATATTATTATTTATGCATTTTGTGTAAAAGTTTGAGTTAATTTAAAATAATTGTTATTTATCCACATGTGGATTATCTATTCGCCTTTTAAGAATGCATTTTTAAAGTCGACTTTATGGTGTGTGTCCTATATAAAGGTCATAAAAAATTAAAAATAAATATTTAGAAAACTGGTACTTAAATTGGCGATGCCTTTTATATTTTTACTAAATTATTTTATGTATTTTAAATTGTAGATATAAGTAGGTAGATTTAATAGGTATTTTATAGAAATTCATATCAGTATTATAGTTTTTTTTTTAATAGGTAGGCGATGGCTGCAAAAAAATTGTAGGTTTTAATTAAATACAAAATGTGTTTTTGTTCGACAAAAAATGTGACGTTACATTTTGTTACAATAAAAAGTAAATTAAATATCGAATTTATTGTTTTATTTATTCTGGCTACTACCTATTACATACCTAGGTAATACTTAGCTACAAAATCCATCATCAAACGTCAAGAACCCAGTACCTTGCTCGATAGTAGAGATTACGATCACTTAAATACTCATCAGCGTCAACATAAATGTGGGAGAGCCATGCTTCGGCACGAATGGGCCGGCTCGACCGGAGTGATACTACGGCCTCACAGAAAACCGACGTGAAGCAACGCTTGCGTTGTGTTTCGTCGTGTGAGTGAGGTTATCGGAGGCCCAACTACCTTTCCCTTCCCCAATCTCCCCAATCCCTGAATCCCTAACGATCCTCAAACTCCTAATACTCGATCCGTCTATTCGTTTACCGGCTTATGCAATAATAAAAAAACAATTAACAGCAATGATATCTATTCTTAAAAAAAATAAAAAATACTAGGTATTCTAAGTCTACTTAACCACATAACTACTAAAACAGGACACAATTTTATCTTCAAATAGACTACTTCTTTTACATACACGAATCAGATGATCACAATACAATAAAGGTTGGTCCTCCTAGTCAACACTACTGACACAAATAAACGGCCTTCGAACTAAAAGACTGTAGGGCACATGTCCTAAATATAGGTCACAACGATAGCCCTGCAATACCACTTATCTGCTATTATGAAAATAAGGATGCTCGTGATCACCGGTTCGATTACCGTGTGATGTACGATGTACTTGCAGGTAATTGATGTGTATTAAGATGTTTTGAGATAATGTTGCGGTTTTGTAAGTACTGTAATTTGCAATTTATATGCCAAAGCATGTTAAGTACCGCTTATTATTCCTTGAAGAGACAGATTGAGAAAGTGTACTTACCTAATAAAGAACTTATGTTATAGTGAACAGGTGATCCGAATAGGTCACATCATCGCTTACCACCAGGTACCAGGTACCACCATGATGGTCAAACGTCAACCTTTTTTTGAGGGGATAAAATCACCCAATGACTTCTCCCGCCTTTGGTTAGGCGGGAGGGAGTGTCAGACTCTTACTGACTAAAAGCCACCCCGTTCCTACTACTGCTCTTCGAGCCGGAGCCCCGGCAACCCGTTAGGCCTTCCGCGGCTTCGTATCGGAAACGTCAACCTATCAAGTGTTTAAATAATAATACCGAAACACACAAACATCACACAAAAAGGACCGTGTTAAAGTAATTCTGTTTCTTTGGAAATAACTTTTGTTTTGTAACTGTTGTTGTTTAACACAGAGACCCATACCCTGGGCTTCATGTTTGGAATTCGTAGGTTTTGGATCACTTGACTGATAATGACAATAAAATAATATAATATTACTCCTTTTATCCCTGAAGGGATAGGCAGAAGTGCATATTAAGGCTCTTGATGGCACTGTACAATGTTATACCCACTTTTTACTATTTATTTTTTAAGTCCCATGTTATAAAGAGCTTATTACCATATATCGGACACAATTCTATATTTCGTGCTATAACTGAGACTTTTTAAAAACACAGTAATACTTTGCCTAAACCGGGAATCAAGCCCAAGGGCAAGGGGTCTATTGCCCGACAGTCACACTCGTGACCACTTGGCTAACGATGCAGTCATAACAATAATATATTATAGTAATTATTATCCATCAAAATCGTATATCTAAGTAAATCACAGAATTTAATTTTAGACGCCAATCTATGACGTAGGTAATGTTTTGTTTTAAAATTATATCACAGTACACCCAATAACAAAGTGCCAAGCACGAATAACTATCGCATTCGTATCGTAACAGTATCGAGCGAGTTAAGCGTTCTGATTGGTTGGTTCGCTTGAGCCGGCCAATCAGAGCGCCGAACGCCCTCGATACTATTACGTTATGATTGCGATACTTATTCGTGCTTACCACTCTGATTCCAAGTACTTAACCGAAAACAAAGACACATATTTTCGTTGTCCCAAAAATGTAATCTGTAAGTTATCGTGAAATTAGTACAGTTCAGTAGTTCACATTGTAAATACAAATATATAATACTTTTGATGTACCCGTCACTTTTATCTAATTTAACACACTCTCGAAATTAGACTAGGAGCTTTACTTGCAAACTTTAACATCACACCCTATAACAAACTTAATCAACAGCTAGTGTAGGCGATTTTAATGCTTATTTAAGTAGATTTAAGAGTGTCAATGAATGCAATAATAAGTTTGGAATACAATTATTTTCATGCAGTTTTTGTGGGTCCTATTGCAAATGTAATAAAAGTGAAAATCGTTTGTCGTAAATTACAGTAGTTTTGTGTGGCTACTGTCATTTCTATTGTTAGTAAATTAATTGTCAAGATGATGTGTCTTGTTGCATGTCTGACTCTTTGACTATGAGTGATCGGTGATTGGTGATTGATAGGATTTCTCTAGAAATGTTTGTATTAGTGTCAAAGAGTTCAATTTACTGCATTGAGGTCCTTTTAATAGGACAATAATGTATGTGAAACTAGTTATTGTAATTTTTGAAGTACCTCTGCTGTCCTTTTTGAAGGTCACGCATCTAAAATTGTGCTACGATAATTATTAGAATTACTACACAATAAACTTGAAGGAAACTGTTGAAAAAGGCAACTGATATTTCATTTTATGGGATAAGACAAGTAAACGATCAGACGGATCACCTAATGACGTAAGCAATCGGCGTCGCCCATGGACACGGTATTCAGGGATTGGGGAGATTCGGGGGCCTGTCTTTACCAAAGAAATTATTAATATTAAAAACTATATCAAAAGTCTTTACTTATGACTTTAAACCCAAAGTACTAATAGGCTAATAGGGTACGTAATATAACTAATAGGGTACGTACTCATTGCCTAATAACGGGACTACAGCGAAGATTTTACTTTAATTATGTTTTTAGTTCTTTGCTCCATTGTTTATCTCTAGAAACCCATCGAAACCCATTACCAATACCACGTGTAAATAAATCCCCATGAACCGTATGGACGTAGGTAATTTATTTTTCCGTTGAGTTCGAGTCCGGTGTAGGGGAAGGGACATAGGACAATAAATTACAATTTAGCTTCGCCCGTACGTCAAACCTGTGACAGTTGATATGACTTGTGATTACTGTAGGTACTTTAGG